TATATATATATGCATATATATATGAATGAATGAATAAATAGCATCTGGGACCTTAAAAGCTTGAAACCAAGCAAGCAGGCATCTAGCAGGAAATTAACAAAGCCCACATGAAAGAAGTACACCAGCCTGTGTGATCATGAGGTGTCAATGGAAACAGGCATCAGAAGTTCAAAAATAAACAATCTTATTGAAGTGAAGGAGGGGAGTTGAGGTAGAGAACCAGAGCCCATCAATGGACAAATGGACATTCCCGCACATAAGAGAAGATATATCCAGTGAGCAGTTTAGCACCAACGAAACACACAACATTCCTCTAGTTCTTTAATCCTTCCTCTCCCCACTATTAGGATCTCAGTCCTACCTAGCAAATCCTGCTAGACCAGTGTACATACATTGGTACAGGCGACAGCTTTCAATATACGGATTTCAGGATAGACAACCCCCTCAGAAACAGTAATGGGAGTAATGATTCTAGGAGGATAAGGAAAAGGGGTGGGTTGGGGGACAAGGGTGAGCGGATAGCAATAATGACAGAAGAACCCCCCCCTCAAGGGGGACAAGCACCAGGATAGTAGGTATAGGTATAGAACAGGTGTTAAATATGTATAAACAATAACAATACATAATACATTATGGGTTTGCAAGGGTGGCTGGGTGGGCAAGGGAGGGAATAAACAAGAGCTAACAAAGGTCTCAAGAATAAAGATTAATATTTTGAAATTGTTGATGGTTAAAGACTGCTATAATTAATCAAGCAAGAAGAGAAGTATGGAAAGTAGGTCTAAAGGAATACATACTAACACAAGTGAATCATTAAGATTTGAAAAGTTATGAAATGCAGTGAAAAAGAAATTGAGGATGATTTAAGTTTCAAGTCTCAATCTGTGAACAATGAAGAAAAAATATCACAAATGACCTAACATTTTCTGTAATCCCATATCACATTTTAATCTGTTTTTGTAGTAGATATATTTTTACCTGTAGAGTGAGATAATTATGCTGCAAGTATATGATAAAGAACCTAATAAAGTGATTTAAGAAATGTGAAAAAACTAAGTAGGCTGAGCAAGGGAGGAAAGAGGTTATTATTACATTTGATAGATCTTAACATGTTTTTATAATTAGGAACCAGGATTCCTATGGTCATTTGTTCAATGGTATATCCCCATTGTCTCACATAGTGTCTGGTACACTGTAGCACTCGATAAAGACATTGTTGAATGCCTATGTAAGTTAGCAAGGAAGAAGTTATATTTTTAAGGGGTTCTATGTCAGATTCAATGGCCTGAGGGCTCAATAGTCTGTCAATCTCTCATTTATTAAAATGGGCTTCTGTTGCTAACTCTACTTCCAAGAATCTAAATAAATTTTAAGAGTTCTCAGTTTTAAGGTTATAATAACCATTTAAGTAACACCAAATTATGAACCACTGAAGGGAAAATCTGAATTGACCGTATCACCAGAGGAGAAGAACAAACAACACGTGAGGATTTACACAGATTTCTTGCTATGAGCCAGGTAGCATTTTAGTTTTGGAAATGTTACTCAGTTCAGACATGTACACTAAAAAGTAGCTCCCACACACGAGACCTGTGACTGGACTGGGAATCTGAAATGTTTTCTTGCAGAGCTTATCATCAACTTACCAGGTCTTTCCTTCCCAGTTCCTTTGGATTCAACAAATTTTTGTATCAAACTTTCAACTGTGGTGTTAGCCATGTTGTTAATAAATTCTTCATGCACCTATTAAAATGGAATAAAGATATTTTTCTTTTTTCCAAAAACAAAATTATAATCTATAAAACGAAAATATGTATTTTTTAACCCAAAGGTCTCTGAAAAGTTCTATTTACCAAAGAGGCTATGTTACATCACTTAGTAGAGCTGTTAGAACCGCCCTGATGATACAACTTCAGAGTCATAGCACATGCAGCTTCCTTTTCCCATATGTACGTGTTGCACATGAAATAAAACGTATTCAGTGAAGAAAAGTTGCACACTGTTAGAAGTAAGAAGTGTCTTCCGGGAAGAGAAGGCTTTGGGAATGGTGACGGTGGCATGTGTGCAAATGTGCCCGACACACTGGATGAATGCATGGATTGTGCAAAGAGATCTAACAGCCCCCAATCAAAGTACTAAAAAAGAAGAAGAAAAAATGTCTTCCTTTTTCTGTACTGTTTCACAATGCCATCCACCCACATTGTTATCATGAAACCTCTGTAATCTTGTGACCATTTATAAGCACAAGTTCTACAACTTACTGAATTTTCTCTTAATGTTAAAAGAATAAAGCTTAAAAAAGAAATACTCAAAAATCGGTAACTTCAGAATTTTAATGTAAGGAGGACTAAGTATAATTCACTTTAAAAATTAATTTGAATTACCACACAAGGTGGCAAAAAGAAAAATCCAGTTT